TGAATAAAGGACAGAATGATGGTTTAAAGCAGCTCTGCTTTGTTTACATGTAAGCATGACCTGCAGGACGGACGAGTTTCACCACTTTATGTTAAAATCATTGGAAAAACGTTTCTTCAAAACAAGTTTTTTTTACTTAGATTTTTAAATCTGGAAAAAAAACATTATCTCAATAAGTCATTTTTTCTTAAAATAAGTGCTTTTGTTCTGGAATTGACGAGGTAAAAAAGACATTTTGCCAATGGAACAAAACTATTTATGTTTAAAATAAGAAAAAACGTATTTTAGGGGCATTTTATCTAATTATCTTATTTTAGGAGTAAAAAGCAGAGCATCTTAATTATCTGCTCTAATTAAGGGTAAATAAATTTAATTTAAGCAATTTGTACTTATTTCTAGATCGTTTTTCCAGCGCAGACGATGGGATCTAACATTCCTCTGAGCTTCAGGAGCGTTTCACCAAATAATATTTGATGTTTTCTTCGTTTTTAACTTCAGTTAAATGTTTAAGTTCTGCTCTGATAAAACACTGAGCTTCATTTTACAGATTAATGCAGATTAAAATCTTTTCTACCGATCCATAGAAGGAAGAAGGATGAGTGGAGGAAAGAGGAAGGGGAGCAGCTTACCCGCCTGCTTGGAGTCATTGGGCTTGATGCAGCGGATGTAGGACGGCTCCTTGGACATCAGGATCTCCATCAGTTTGGCCAGACTGGCTTTGAACTGGGTGGCTGCCTAAAGGGGCCGAAGCAGACCAGTCAACAGAGCCGAGGAGAGACCACAGCAGAAGAAGAAGGAGGAGGAGGTCTGATGCTGCTGGGAGGACGGCGCCGGGACACTGCCCCCCCCCTCCCCACAGACAGCCCACTGCTGCTCACCGTGTCAGGACGCTTCCTGTCACTCAGCTCGTCTCGGTCAAAACACTGCGTCAGGATCTTGTTCTCAGACATGCACATAGCCTGCAGGCACAAACGCATCAGATGACCTCAGGCTGCAGAGGGCGCCGTTCTTTCTTTCTAAACGTTTCTCACCTCTTTCAGATTCCTGAAGAGAAGGTCGTTGTTTTTGTCCAGAAAGCCTGAATGAGCATCAATGAAAGAATAAAAAAACCTCTAATTATTCTGAGCATGAAACTACGGTTCAAGCCCTCCCTCCTGCAGGGGGCGCTCTATTCGGTCAGATGCAGATCTATATGCCTTCTCTGAATTTGCCGAGACGTCGAACTAATAAAGCTTCAGCTAAAGGGAGAGAGATCCAGAGAAATACAAAACATTCTTACATTTCTGGAACTCTGGAGGAGTAATAGAATATTCTGATAGGATGGATGCATGTTGCAAAGAACAGTAACTGCTCACATGTTTTTATCTCTCTCTCCAAGTATATATATATAGATATATATATATAGATATATATATATAG